TACATGTACATTAAGTCAGTCATATATCATAATGTATATACATGTATTTATGTACTGTTTATATGTATAATTTTTTTTGTCATTGTAGCTATCACAGAACTGGTTAAAACTGGCATTTACATCAGCTAGAACTATCAAAGTAGATGCATCAATTTCTCCAATGGGTATGATCACACTAAAGCATTTCACATTAATTTTATAGTATGCCAATGTTAAATATTTTTTTTTAATGTTGTGTAGGTGAAAGAATTAAATGTTATCTCTAGTATATTGATTTTTTTTTACTTAAATTAAGTATAGCTACCAATTCTACTTTTGCAAATGTCATAGGTTTCAATTTCCCAGAAAAGTTTTGTATCAAAAGTTTGTTTCCATTTATTTTATGAATTTCAGAAAATATAGTATAGCATGGTTTGTTTTGTACAATGCAATGTCATTTCATTCTACAATAGTAATCATTATGTTTTTCACTCATTACATATATATTGTGTTGTAGCTACTCCCAAACAATTTGAACAATTCATTCAGGCAGCAAGTGTTTCCACCAATAAAATAAAAAGGTATGCTCCATATAAGCTCTAAACCATACATATTCCTAGCAAGATTATTGAAATGTTTTGATAAGAAAAACAGTAGAGTCATGTATATGCTCTCCATGTTACTCAATGCATTGTTCTGAGTATCAGTTTTTTAAAACACCAATGAACCTTCCATAATGGTATTTCATTTTGTTTTCAGAATTGATTTCATCCAGAAGAACTGTTTTTGAACTGTGGACTGTTTGAAATATTTTGCACCTGCTCAGAAATCCCTTCACAACTTGTTTTTGAATTTGAAAGGCTGTTTTTAATTAAATAAATTTTCTAGATAACTTATACTTTGAATTTTTAACAGTACAATGGTGTGAAAGTTTGAAGGCTGTTAAGATTTGAGTATCTTAAGTTTACTTGCATGTATTCTGACAGGCGCGTAGCTGCTTATACGCAAATACGCAGGTGCGTACACATCGTTTACAAATTAAAAAAAATGGGGGGGGGGGGGAGAGAGATTTGTGAGAAGAGAAAAAATATCAATACCATCCAGCAAATATTTGTGCTTCAAATTATTTTATCTCATACTGTTTCGATTCAAATTCAAATTCTATATTACCATGTCTTTTTAAAAAAAAATTGTAATATTTTATTAATTCATTGCCAAAACCAAATAAAACATTCATTAATTTGTAATTCTTCTACAACACATTGATAATTTATTTTAAGATCTTTGAGAAAATATCAACCGTTGAATGCTGTGATCCACTAGAATATGATTTGAAATATTATTTTTGTTAAAAATTGAAATTATTAATTATATTTGTTGCCGAAAGATGATACCAATATATCTTTTTAAAAAAATATTCAGTCTCTACATGTACAATAAATTTGCACGGAAGTATTTAACTTTGTGTTAAAAACAATATATCTATGTCTTGTATTTTCTAAAGAAACTCGAAATGGCATGATTTTGAATGAAATATTTGGTAAAAATCATGAGCTTCCAGGGACTTCGACCCTGGGCCCTCATCTGGACCCACTGGGGGTCTCAAAGCGGACCCCAGCCGTTCTCTGCGTACATTTCACTTCCATTCTGGTATGCGCCTGTCTGTGTTTTGGGGTACAACAAGATCTAAATTTCAGCATGTATATTGTGTTCACCTGTTATTTAACAGAGTATCTGTTTCTTGATTACAAAGTTTTTACTATGATTATCTTGTTTGCGCATTGATTGATAATTACTCAAAAACATGAGACTAAAGCCCCCCCCCCCCTTCCCCCTCTACGCCGATATGATTTGTGCTACAATACCCAAATAAGTAAAACCTGACGTAAACACAGTTTAATAATTTATTTTTAACATGCCAGTAAGTATATGGTATTAAAGGAGCCAAAGGCAAACTGGTGATGGGGGGTTAGGGGTTAGATCTGTAGAAAGGAAAACAGGTTATTAAATACAGGAGTAAGCACCCCAATCCCTTCCTTCTGTTCTTAAAGCTTTTAACTAAAGTTTTTAGTCTAGAATCCATAAACAGTTGAAGGTTTGATAACTAAAATAATCACATAAAAAAAAAATTTAAAAAAACTACTAAGTTCTGTTGGAGATATTTTTTCTGTGTGTCTACTGAGGAAGAATAAATGTTTTATCATTGATAGGGTCTGTCTATTTTTTTTTTTTATTACAAATGATTGAATCTTTCAATATTTTTAACCATGGGCATTTTCCAATTCATTTACATGATGGATGTTGCGGCAAATTTTAGGCGAACGGAGGAAATGCGGTAGGTGTCAAATACGTCTTGTGTAGCGTATAAAAGAACGAAGATATACAAAACAAAGTAAACTCAAAGATTTTTTTATGCATACCGTTTTGATTTAGTGAAATAAAGCCCAGCGCAGTCCGTAGGTATTATTTGTTAAAAATTTGCGAGGTACACACACTCTACTTAGTATCACAGAGTTATCTCCCATGCTGGGTCAATGATGCGTTTGAAAACTATATTTAGAATGAATGTGTTAAGATTTCAATTTTTAATCAAAAAGTGCAAGGGCAAGGCGACAACCCAAGAGGTAGGTTTTTATTTTAAATTCTTTATTTTACTGTATAGTTTTTAAAAAGTGATGCTCATTTCTTTGTAATTCATTAGGTAATTTAAAATTTCCGATTAAATGATGAAAAATACCCTATTTTTGAATAATGGTGTTTGTTTTCAATGAATAACTTAAATATCTCAGAAATCTGACTGAATGAGCATCAGTTTTTCGATAGGCTAGATACCAAGGGACACAATGAAACCTTGTGCAGTTCAAATATTGTTTGCCTTGCCCTTGTACTTTTTGGTTAAATTTGACATTTCATATTTTGACCTAAAATCGGAGCTCACGTGACTTTAGAGGGTCACATGATGACAAAAAATACCGATGTGAAAAGCGATGGACAAACTCTTCATAAAGCCATTAAGATATTTCAGATAGAGTTTTATGCTAAAAAATAAGACGGTTGAACTTTAAGTGTCTCGTTTTTGGTGCCTTTTTATAGAAAATGTTGCCTTAACTGCACTGCGCTGCTTTTTAATCATAAAAATGACAAAGTGACAAATTCTTTTGGGGACACTGAATAAGATTTTAAATTGCCCCTCGAATGGCAGGAATTTAAATGTTTCATGTTCTCAAACTTCATAACTTGTCACTTTGTCATTTTTATGATTATAAAGCAAGTTACTCAAAAACTAGGAGATTAATTCTATTTGAGGTAATGTTCGAAGTGCAAGGCTTGCTGGTATTTAAAGCCCAATCTTCTTCTTCTGATTGATATGATGTAAATGCTCCTAGTAAAACTATGACTTTTAAATACATCATCCTCGATACGTTTACAGCGTTTCCTACGACCACAATACATGTACATGCACAATGTCTTGAGTAAGATATTCTTATTTGATGTTGAAAAAATCTTACCTGCAATATCTAAAGTTGAAAAGCCCTTGGAATTATCTTTTTGTCTTAATGTGTTGAAATCCGGTGTTTTACCTGTGAAAAAGTGAATTTTTTTTATCAAAGTTATATGTTTATATCTATAAAATGCAAAGTTTGATCAAGCATACAAAAGCTCCTTCTTTTACAATTGAATGAAATAATAGAAACTTCAGATTATATTAACAGACCCTTAAATATTGATTCTAAAATCAACGATAATAAAGCTCTAACATAGCATAAACATAAATAACTTCTATTGAATCATAATAATTACACACAAACAAAACATATCCATACATACTTTACATAATTTACAAACCCCAGAGTCCGTCTCATAAATAAACACAATTATTTCTCTCTAATTCATCTTCCTGTTATTGCTCTCTTATTCATCTTTCTATTCAAAATTACTCTTCAAATAATTAGTTTCCATTTTCTGGTCTCTCTTTTCGAAACCTGATATGAACTCTCACAAATCCTTGCCTAGGTTTCATGCGTATTTTTGTTCAATTATTTTCACAGAAAAGAATTTTTCAATAGGCTATAAAAAAGTGACTCCATTACTTCGAGAAATTAGATGGCATCATAAATATCGTTATAGAGGTAACCAAGAACTTGTCGTGATATCGTCTTTTTTACCCAGATATCAGCAATATCAATACTTCACCACATAATGAGTAGATAAATTAATACCCCATTTAGTCTCGATCGCAGTTTGTAGCTATACATCGCCATTAGATTTGAATAGAAGGAACCCATTTTGCAAACTTAAGTCTCCCTGTCATTTAATGGTGCTCTAAACCTGTAGTATTTCTCTTACCATCAATCTTAAGTTGACTGTCTGCAGTGAGTAGTGTTCAAACATAATAAGAGCTACAGCTGTATTTAGAAATGTATTGACACGTACATGTATAACAATGTGCCTATTTCTTTTTTCTTTCTTTTTCATAGCAACACTACCAAAGAAAGACAAAAACACTTTAGGGGCCTGAATGCATATATACTTACGTTGATTTCTTTTCCAGATCAGATAATTCAAGACACTTCCAGAGACAACAATTAAGGTAGAGATAACAACGCTTATTATGGTTATACTGTAGTCCGTGTTACACGCTTCTGACAACTTCTGTGACTGTAAATATATGGACAAATTATTGGTGTTATGATACTATTCATACATGCATTATTGGTTTTCCTTTGTATTTATCACATATAAGGCAAAGTGCTAAGCTGCAGTTACACCAATAGCAGATTATATCGAACTATAAATGTACACACAAAAACTAAAGGATCGGATCGAATTATCTATCTGTTAAATAGCCTATGAAAATCTTACACATTATTAATGTGTATGTTCTGTTGTCATGGTATAAACTGCACATTGCTTAAAATATATTTGTCAAGAGAACTTGTTGTTACACTTTCTTCAGTCCAGATTTTCCTTACATTAGTATTACGCTGAATGACCAGGTATTGTATTTTTTAAGCTCACCTTTACATACACCTCACACACTCCTGACTCATGATGACATATCCGGTTGAAACAGTCTGTACTACAGGTCTGGTTACAATTAACACCCCAATATAATTGTCTGCAAACTACAAAAATGAAAATAAGGCTGGAATATACGAGTTACATATGTATTTTTCTATAAAGATTGTTTATTGTTATATTTATTTCATTTAAAGATAAGAGAAATTTCTTATAAGATTCAAACATTGCAATTTGGTTGCATATCGCACTTTCTGTGCATGTTTTAGTTTATCAATTTTTTTTAATCAGTCCTAAATTGAATTAAGTCATTTTTCTTTTTAGCGACTTGTCTGGTTGCGACATTTTTTAACATAAAATGCACCATGAATAAAAGATTATTATTCTAGAAAGATCAACATTTTGCATAGAATTTTTATGCATAGTGTGGCATACGTAAGAGAGTATATACTATTTAACGACACTAAGGGCAGATTACTACATTAAATCATGGATATCAAAACGAAACCTCTTCCTCTTTCTATAATACATGAACTATATAGAAATAATTATACTACAAACCTATAAATTCAGGGAAGATAATTCAATAAGATTGACATAAAAAATACCCCTCAATTTGAAATAATTCTCCATTTTTTATTACATAATTGTTACATATATATTTCATTTTGGAGCTATACTTATCCATTATATAGAGCGATCCCTCATATCAAGCAAAACGCGCTCCTAAATATTACAGGTACATTTGACATTGTGACAAACTGATTCATCACAACAAATTCAATCAGAACTTTCAATTTTAAGTAATGTTTTATTCTTTTTTAATCACTAATGAGAGAGAGAGAGATAAGTAGAGATCTTTTCATACATGTAGAAAAAAATAATAAAAATGCAACTACAATATACATAGTTTTCATTCAAATTTCAATTGAACATATATTTTTTTTTACCGAAATACCTAAAAGGATTCAATACTTGAAGTATTAGATTTTCTTTCTTTCTATTAAATGACTTTCCACAATGAACCTATCTGAAGAGACATGTGTACTCACTCTTATCACATCGTACCCCACTCCACCCCGCCTGACATCCCTCCTCACATTCTCCAGTAAATCTGTTACATCGTCTGGATACACCACAATTAACGTTGCATTTCTGTCTACAGTCTCTCCCGTAATAATTCGGATTACACTCTTCCATGAAGCAAAACAGAAAAAAAAATTACAAGACGTTGCAATTTATTTTGCAATTATAGCATAAATATTTAAATTTAAGCAATGTACACATAAATATACTATCGAATTGCACTTAAATGGGAGAAAGTTTTATTTTACTGTCACATTGTGTTTCAAAGTGATAGATTATCAAACATTATGGTCGCACACGTGGCGCAGTGGTTAGAGCGTCTGCTCTAGAGTCGCGAAGTAAGGAGTTGATCCTTATGTCGCGGGTTCGAATCCCACTGTGGGACGTGGAGACCGGTCTTCGGATGAGACCGTATAAACCAAGGTCCCGTGTCACAGTAGGTGCCGGCACGAAAAAGATCCCTCACTGCTCAATGGCCGTAAGTGCCGAGTACAGGACAAAATTTGCAGCTCTCCACCGGCAACTGGTGGCGTCTCCATATGAGTGAAAAATTCTTGAGAGGGACGTTAAACAACATACAAACAAACAATCAAACATTATGAACCGGTCACGGTATTCTAGTGGTAGGGCATTCGCTTCGTGATCGGAAGGGCCGGGTTTGATCACATGAAACCACATGAAACTACGACGTAAAGACGGGTCTTTCGGACGCTCTGTATGAGTGAAAAATTCTCGAATGGGGCGTTCAACACACAATCAATCAAACATTATGACATTTTCTGGACATTTCAGTTTCTTTTACTTCAAATATTTAGGGCAGCAAAGACATTGTCAGTGGATCCAACAGGCATCGTACGTCTACAGTATGCATGTGTAAATGTAACCATGCACTTTAACTATATTGTTAATTTTAAACTAAAAAAATGTTTTGAAAGCATGTTTTCAGTTTTTTCCTTCCGACTAATAAATCCTTAAATCATACTAAATATGTTGCAAACAAATAAAGACTCAAGTTAATTCTGCCTGCCTAAATATGAGAGTGAAAGAAAAGTACCTTCTTGACAAAGTGCCCCGTTGTATCCTATGGAACAGCCTTTTGAACAAGTACCACTGATATGATGACATTGTGTATCACTGAGACAATGACCACAGGTTTGACTGCAGTTATCACCATACATTCCACCGTCACATTCTTTCCATTTGATTAAAAAAGACGCGTTGTTTAAAAGGAAATGGAGCAAATATTGATGAAAATATAATTATTTGTTTGAAATGTTTAATTGACAGTTTAAATTTTTATGCAGTATCATTTCTTTCGTACTAACCAAGCTGGAGACGTTATATGACGGCGTCCTATACAAAATCATACTTTTCAGAAGTAATACAAATGTGTTCATAATTCAATAAATTCTATCTTTACTCGTGTAAACAGTTTTACATTACATACTTTTTCCTCTTTCTCTATCAAAAAAATTCTTGATTACGAATAAATTAGAAAAGAGATTCTAGCTGTTTGTAGCTGATTATAATTTAACTTTCAACAATTAAGTATGTCTCCCATGTTTGGCTTAAATATGTGCTTTGATCATGCATGTTGATTTATGAATAAATTTTGTGGTGTTTTCTGTAGTCCTTGAACTCGTAATAAATACTTCATAACTTTTATTTAAACAATGCCGTATCACACATTTATATCTAATCTGAACATATTTCATTACCTATAAAGTTTGAAAAGTGGATTTTGCAGTAGTTTTATATGTAAGTTCTCAGTGCATCATTTTCCTACATTTTAACTAACTTTTTTACGTTTATGAATCAAGATGTAAAATCTTCTAATGCATGGTACAGTAAAAAACATTGTATCCGTTTATAACTACAATATATATAACAGTGTGGAATGGAAGTTAATGAATAATAAATACGTTAAGAGATAATTCTGTCTGTGTTTTTGACTTTAAAAAATATGTTTTCTTACTTTTTATACAAAGCAGTTCTTTGTATCCCGAAGAACAACCCCCGGAACAAGTACCGTTGATATGGTGACACTGTGTGTCATTAACACAATGACCACAGTCTTGGCTGCAGTTCTCACCGTACATTCCACCATCACATTCTTGTAAAAACAATACATATTCATATTGCTGACATGTTTTTTACACAATAAATACCATAGCAAATTATTTTTTTCATTCATATCTGAGGATAAGTAGTTCCTTAATCAAACATCGTGATTAATCAAGGATAATAATTGCTTACCAATGTTGCAGAGCTCCCCCTTGTGTCCAGAAAAACATCCTTGTAAACAAGTACCGGTAACATGATGACAATGCGTATCATTAAGACAATGACCACACCACTGATTACAGTTAACACCGTACATTCCTTTTTCACATTCTTCAAAATTCAACAATAAAAATAAACTCAAACACATGGAAAAAAAAAACTCTACTTTTTCAGGGCTTTTAACAACCTCGTTGAAAGCCAGCATTTCGCAAATTCTATGGTTGATATACTGGCCATGTTTGCAATTAAAACCTATTGTTAGGTCGAATTTTGACTGAGGCCAAAAAACATATGCGTGTTTCCTTTTACATGGGACTTTAAAATAGGGTAGGTAGGTGCATTTTTTAAAGGTAGTGAGGTTGGGATTGGAGATTCAATGTCTATTATTGCACATAATGAACAAGAAAAAAAATCAAAACCTAAAATTTTGCGAGTCTTCACCTCTCTCTTTAGGAGAAATTTTGAAAATTAAGGGAGTCTTCATACACTATAATTCCAACACTAGGCCTATGTCATTGATAGAATTTAAAAAAAATGATTGGATGGCAATTGGTTACGGAAATTCGTAATATTCCGGAAAAAAGTGAAGGGTAGGGAATTTGGCTGGAAAAATCAGGGTGGGTAGGGAACCGGAAACACATATTTTTTTTTTTTTGACCTAACATGTTTAAAGCCTTTTATTAGTTAATAGATTTAAACCAATGTTGACATATAACTTTGTCCACCTGAAGGCTTATGGCCTCTAAATTTTGTATCAGGTCAACAGGGGACGCCTACTAGACACCTGATTTCATCTCAGGTATTTCCAGGGTTACGTGGTTTTGCCTTTTTCAAAATTCATAATGTTTACAGGATTTATGAAATCGATTACTGTTCATTATCTACACATTTTTATTTAATGAAGAAGTAGAGAGGATAATGGTACTTTTTCGTCGGTGACTAGTATTTTTGCAAAAAATACAATTACATTTGTATTGTTTCTTCAAGATTTTGTCCACCAACCCACAATTAATCTTTGTCTGACAATATTCGTTATAAACCTTATCTTTTTCTAATTTAATTATACACTGTATGTTGAGTATCAATAATGTTACAACTTGTTTGTTCATTTATTTGTCTTTATATCTTCCGAGTTCAATAAGAATATTGCATATTTTAGATATATGTATATACCCCTGTCACAACGCATCCCCCTCCATCCAGGCTGACACCCTCCTTCACACTCTCCAGTTAACTTGCTACAGCGTCCTAACACTCCACAGTTTTCACTGCAATTCTGACTGCAGTCCTTACCATAAGAACCCCGCTGACAGGCTTTAAATATAAACTATATATATTCATTAAAAGAAATTATATATCTTAACAACAACTGTAAAATTACTTATTTCGTGCGGTCAATTTCTTGTGCTTTGAAGAAATATATTATTGGTTCATGGGGATTTGATTTAGTGGATAAAGAATTGTTGAGTGGTTATGTATATGACATTTAACATTTCGTGGTAGATATGAATTTGTCGGCCAATTACAAATAATTGAAAAAGAAAAATCAGGTTTATAAACACATTTTTTTCAGCTTCATCAAAAGTAGAAATTATCCTCTTCATCAACAAAATCCGAGTGTTTCACATTTAATGCAACTTGATTATTTCAAAATACTACTAACTGTATGAACTGTTTGAAAATGTTTTTGTGTTTGAATAGTTTGAATTTTGATGACCTTTGACCCGTATAAACAATCAAAATCCTCTTTAGTATTAAGCACATGACTAGACATGGCCAGAGTTCCCAACTTAAAAAAAAAGAAAGAAAAATAAAAATCAATGTAATCACTTCAAATTAAACAGTTTTACCAGTCTGACATCGATCCCCCTCCATTCCTTCACTACAGCCTCTAGGACATGTGCCGTTGACATGGTGACAGGTTTCTCCGTCACTACAGTTACCACAGGATAGAGAACACTCCAAGCCGTAGGTTTGTTGATCACAAACTGGAATAGCAAAATAAGCATCCAAGAGGCTCATGGCCAACAACACTCACCTAAGTTACTTTCGCCCTACTGCTTTTTTTCCAGAAGAGTTCTGTTTTGAAAGATTTTTCTTTTCCATTATATGCCTTTGAAAAAAATATTGACCCCTTGTTGTAGCGCACCCTGTCCTCTGCACTCTTGATTTAAGCAGACGAACATATGCTCTTCCTGGGGGTGCTCGCATTTCAATACAATTAATTCGGGTCTGATGCTTCTATGAAGATTTTAAACACTTTACTCTATTAGCCCGATCATGGCAATGAGCACACGTCGGGAATGACCGGTCGGCAGGGGATACTTACTCCTCCATGGCACCTAATCCAATCTCTGATAGCTTTAAGAGGTCCGTGTTTGTTCTGCTCCAGATTTGTATTGTTCCAATGGACTTTTGAGTTTGATTACTGTTCGTTATCTCCATACTTCGTCTATAAATTTCCCTGTAAAAAAAAACTTTTATCCCCACCCTTACCATACTCCCAGTGTGTCATAATTTGAAATGCTTACATTTAATGTTTTTCTATATACTTTACAACTAAGACATTGATTTTAATGTTATTTTCGTGTATACCCACGCGTAGAAATATATACAGAAAAACTTGGGCTAAAATGACGTCAAAAGTAGCTACAGAGACGTCAATAAAAAATATAACGATATAAGGCAGCGAGGAATTCAAGCATTGAGTGTATATTTCCTGCTTTAAAACATGTAAAATTTACACACCAATACCTTTCACACATCTGAAAAACATTCCTTAAAAATAAACCTTGAATCTGCACTTCTTGAGGATACTTTAATATAAACAAAATTTTAATAATAAAATATAATTATCTGAAATGATCCTGCTTCTCTTAAGAGGAAGACTTAACTATATTTTCTACTAAATTTCCATCTAAACTTCTTTCTCCCATTTGCCTAGCTAAATGTCTGGCCCTACTGGCTTGCCAAGAAGAATAAAAAATTTTTTCCTATGTACATGTTTTTTTATGTTATAATTTGATGGGATTGCCTGTTGTAGACTCACCTACCCCCTTGGATTATGATTGAAACAAATTTCAATCTTAATTATCTGAGGATACTTTCATAATCCTATCACTAGGGCCCTGGTTTTCTAGACAAGAAGATTTCTAATGAATTCCCCAAAATACTTTAATGCTAAACTTTTAACTCCTACTAATGTCATGACCTTACCTTAGCCCAGAGATCATAATCTAAACACATTTGAATCCACCTTATATAAGATAGCTTTCGTGCATGTTTCTTTCTTCTGTTCGAGGGGTTCTGAATGATTACATCATATTTTGTCTATTTCTAAATAATCACAAATTTGAAAGAATGCATGGCTCTTAATTTAAGAAACAGAAATCCTCATCACCCAAGGATACTTTGTGGCAAGTTTTGTTTATATTGGTCTACTGGTTCTGGGGAATTCTACATAAGTTCGGAGACGACATTTGACAGCAAACAGAGTAAACTGAAACCCTTCAATCAGAAAAACTCAGTTGAGTCTTCGCTTCAGGCAAGCTTATACTTGTAAACTGTGGCCTCAAACTGTGCTTGATTTGCATTTCTGTCCAGATATGATAAATATTCATAATAATAATTCATATTTTACATGGCAACATATGATTTGACAGAATATTTTCACTTACATTTTTATGTTAATGCCTGTGAGCAATACATGTATATTATTTTTTAAACTTACTTTGATTACACTTAGGACCTTTATATCCCGGTTTACAGCCAAGGCAGTGTCCTGATGTAATATTACAACTTTGCTCATGACAATTCCCAGGACATAATTTGTCACAATATTCTCCATAATGTCTACGATCAGGACATCCTGCATTAAGAGAATAAAATGTTTTAATATCATACATTTCAGAGGAGGAAGTAAAGTAACATTACAATATCTATTTTATAAAAAGCTGTTTACAATAAAGCTGTTTTAATCTCACCATAAACTTCTAATTCACACAAATCATTGTATGCATATGTAGAATAGTAACTGGGGTAGATAACACCCTGTCTCCGTTCGTTGTAGTATATCACATATCGTCCATGAACAGGACAGTTTATTGTCTGGTTCTCTGAAGGAGTACCACTCACATGCTGTATTTTGTGGAAACAGAGATGTCCGTCTTCTTTTGACGTTGTGTTTGAAACGAAGAGGAAAAATCCAGCAAATCGATTGTAGAATGCACCAGGACCTACATAAACAAACTGAATAACACCACATCAAAATATCCTTCTGGCATAATGATAATTATGATGAATAGAAAATACAAAAAAAATGGGATTTCTTCATTGGGCCAAACTATTATTCTACTGGTCAAAGACTAGAAAAGTTATTATGCATACAGATGTATGTAAGTTACTTATTTGCTTGTATATCCGGTTCAAATTTACTAAAGCAAATTACAATATTTCCTGCTTATCGTTATATAAAAGTGATTTTATAAGTAAAAAAAGGTATAGTTAAGAAAAAAAAGAGAACAGTGATCGATAAAAAAAAATCTTCACAATATCAAATGACAAAAATATTTTGTTCATGAAATTATATTTTGAAAAAAAAAGTTTAATGTTGGTCAGATCAGGAATTTAAAGAAAAAAAGAAAAACAAAGATCGCTAGATTACTACAAGCAAAATGTTTTTTAGTTGCTTAAAGAAAATGTATCTATCCCATAATTTTGAATGTAGCTTTTTCCTTTTCCCTTATTTCAAAATTTTCAAGTGATCATGTGTTAAATCAACTTCTCTTAACAGATGTCCATTGGATGAATGGCTTATTTACATGAATGAATGGGAAATTAGATGATTACTTACTGGGTGCATTATCAGTCCTGTAGAAGATGTTGATGTGACGAATGCTGACCAGTCTCTGAAGATCTACCCTCCACTCTGCTGTCTGTTTTCCATCAGCTGAAATTGTACACTGGTTTCCTCCTGATGAGCGGTCAGAATATTGACCATCCACAGCCTTCGCAGCTCCCCATGCTATTGGTTTATTTGGCCAATTGTTTTGCTGCCAGGCATATTTCCCTAAAGCTAAGTTCACTTGGAAAGACGACAATTCAGTACAAATTAATAATATACCAATCAATACATTTAATATTTGGAAGGCTTTGATTTCATTTAATGTTGATAGAAAACTGAAACTATTTGAAAGACGAAATAAGTACTGGAAACAAATATAACTTACAATAAGTACAGTGCGGTCTTTGATATCCTGGAGTACAACCATTCACACAGTTACCAGTAACGGCGTCACACTGTTTACCCTGACAGTTCTCTGAACATGTTTGGTTACAATTTTGTCCGTAATATCCAGGAACAGGGCAGCCTGCTTAACAATTTTTATTAATATAACATCTAGATTGATGAAAATACCTAAATTTTATTTTCAGATTTGTTAACCAACATGTACAATACTTCAACAATGAGTTATTGAACACGCTAGTATAAATGTCATTTTCATTATGAATAGTCAAGGCCAACTTTAAAATAATGTTTGTTTGCCCAGTCCCAACTCAGGATGAAAAAGTGGGTCGATATTTAGGTTATAAATGATTTTCCCAAAAAATTTTATCATCAATGCTGAATTTTCAAAAATGAATCGGAATGCATTAAAAAAAGTTGCTTCCTGGGCCCGAATCAAGTTTTGAGTTGAATCAGTTTAGCCAGTCGGTCTGGAGAGGGCAGTTAAACATTTTTTAAAGATGGACCAATACTGTATTCTGTTAAATCTCACCGAAAACTTCCACTTCACATAAGTCATTGAATGCGTACTGAGAATAGTAAGCAGGATACGTCACATCCGGTCTCCGCTCATTGTAATATATAACATATCGTCCATAAGTAGAACAGTTTATCCTCTGGTCTTCTGTTGGTGTGCCGCTCACCGTCTGTATTTCATGGAAACAAAGATAGCCGTCTTCTTTGATTGTTGTATTTGAAACGTAGAGGGAAAACCCTGCAAATCTTCCAATGTATGTACCTGGTCAAAAAAAGTAAATAAAATGAAATTCACGTACTTCGATTTCAATTTTAACTTATTCTCACATCTGCATAAAGGAAACTTGCAGAAAATACAGGTGCAAATTAAGCAGAGTATATAAAAGGGTAACAGTTTTATTAATTATATTTATGAATTTTCTTAGGTTATTGGTCATATATACATTTTTATTGAAAATGTTTTTTTTAAAAATCAATAGCGCTTGGTCATCTTATATTTTCGCTTGATGGTGCACACGATTTTCTTCATTAATTAAGAGCTGGCACTACTAGTCTCCAATATTATTTACACATTTAGTACAATGTCTTTGATTTCTTGGTGCAGTGCTGCATCTGCTTGTCTCATTTGGTATTTGTGATAACTACTTCCTCATGCAATCATGAGTTTTATTTAACATAAAAAGAATGAATGTTATGGATTTTGTAATTTGAAAAGAAATATGAAATTTTGAATAAATTTCTGCTCAACTAATTCTTCTGTAAACGCTACTGATTGAGCAAGTTTGCCTTCTGCATAAGAATAAACTAAATTTAAGGCTCCGATGCACGTAGATTACAACCGAATGTTGTCCGTTACAGTAGTACATGTAGCTGCCATATAAGGCAAAATATTCAGCGCGGTATAAATTAATATCAAAAAATCTTTTAAACATATATTTTTTTATATTGACAGCTTTTGTTACCATAATTGTACAAAATAGTTAATCAGTAATTAAACAATAAAATGCTTTCTTTGGTTGTTAGTACGGAAATTAATGTCGCAGCTGTTGCAGAAAAAATACATAACCCGCGTAAGCGGGTTATGTAATTTTTTTTCTGCAATAGCTGCGTCGTTAATTCCCGTACTAACAACCAAAGAAAGAAATTTTATTGTGTTTTTTTTTTACATCTGTATAAATAATCATTTAAAGTAGGATTAAAAACATCAGTTATTGTATTATTCATATGTACGTCATTGTGAGTTTTATTGATGGAAGAGCCACTGATCAAGAAATCCGTACAGGTGATATGCCAAATGTTGTTCACGAACTGATAAACGGCGATGGTTTTCTTTAGAAATAAAGGAGGAATATTCAGTAGATGTAAATATTGCAGAATAAGAACAATTTAATTATTAGAACGCACTCTCACAAGCAAGGATGTATATGCATGCCGAATCGATCAGCTTCATCACGACATTATTGGTTTTCTTGAGGATTTAAATTTAACCAACTTAATCTATGAATGAACATTCGGTATAACAGAAAAAATAAATAGTTTCAGTGACTACTTCTCTAGTTAAGTACTTAGGTAATCCTTGGGGAAAAAATGGAAAGGGGGTTTTCTCATCGTAGCATTTATGGTCTTACGGCATGATCGCGTTGAAGCAGATACTATTAAAAGATAATATGACGTAACGAGTTACAATATTTGCAATTCTAGGCCTATATATATTTTCCTGCGATTCCAAAAACTTATCAACTTGAGAAATATATATAATTTCGTTTGTATTCTAGCCTCTGATTGGTTAATATCCAAAAAGGAACACAAATTATTTCTGTATAACCTGGTTTGGTATGGGGACACACCCCCCTGACAACCAGCTCAATCATCTGTATCCATACAGTCCTCTCATTTCCAGTCCTCGGGATTCATGGAAAATTCCATATTTAATAAACGTACCTTTAACTTAACAATAATTCGATCTTACCACATGTAAACAAACAAAAAGGCTGCCGCTAGGCCTATGCATCAGTTTTTACCTCCCCTCGCTTCCCATCACTTCCGTTACTACGGTTGTATTATTTAGCGGCAAATTTGAACTAATAAAAAGCAACGAAATTTTACACCCTTAGTTATTTAATGATTTTAAAATTAAATTATAAGGAATGACTCTAATTCTTGGCCAAATTATTCGAGTATAACCTGGTTTGGGTCAGTTTACTCTGTTTTATAATCCGCTGATTATAAAACAGCGTAAACTGACCCAAACCAGGTTATACTCGAATAATTTGGCCAAGAATTTGAGTCATTCCTAATATATATATATATATATATATATATATATATATATATATATATATATATATATATATATATATAGAATTAGGTACAAAACACGCCGATTTACAACTAGTGTTAAAACACTTGGAATGAATATCGACCAATTATGTTATGATTCTAGATTTTTGTAATGTAAACATGAGCATATTATCAAAGTTCTGGAGGTGGTTTTTCTTCATAAAAGACAGATTTACGTTTGTCATCGGCATGCAAGTCAGTCTCATTTGCAATGAATACGCAGTACATACTTCAGGAGTCATGCATACCTGGTATATTATCTGTCCTGTAGAAGATATTAATGTAACTGATGCAAACGACACTTTGAAGGTCAACTCTCCACGTAGCTGTCTGCTTTTTATCTGCCGATATTGTACACTGGTTTCCCGTATACACGCGGTTAGAATATTGTCCATCCACCGCCTTGTCTGCTCCCCAGGATTGTAAATGGGCATTCTTCTGCCAGGCAAGTCTACGTAATGCCATATTTTCTATATGAACAGAATAAACGATATCAAATACAAAACTGTCCAACCAAAACAAAACTAAATAAATACTAAAATAAACTTTAGTTTCCCATAGTAAATCAAAGTGTTAGTGTATTCACAGTACCAAATCAAAGTATCAAATACCACTGCTTTTTTTTTAACTTGCAGTACTTGACCACTGTTTACACGAACTTGACATTTACTGAATGTTGGATATTTACTGCTTAGAAGAATAAAGATGAATTGCTTCCAGGTTTTGGGATATTTTGGAGAGAGAAGGATCGCAGCAAAATGAAGCCATGAGTATGAAACTATAAACCAAAGAAACTGAAACACAAGGGCTGTTTTACATGGCCAGCAATACAGAGAGGTTCTAGGGAAAATTGGATTTAACATTAATACTTGTGGTTTCTTTTAAGATTCAGAGAACAATAATTTGGTTCATTTTCTTATGTTTTTTTTTAAAGAAAATGTTTTGTCCTTTTAAAGGCTAGAGATCGCAGGTTTGCTATTTATTATAATATTTTTTTTTATATAGGATAACTATGGTTTATTATAATAGTATCTAAAGCAAAATTATAATTATAATTATTATTTGTAAGGTCAATGCCAGCTTTTGTGTAAAACAAGGGAATGTCAGTTGAATGTTTATCAAGTTTTATCAAGGTGGTCATCGTGTATACCATTATAAATGACAATTTTTTACAACATTTACGCAAATTATTTCATATATCAAGAAGGAATGTAATGTTCTCAGGAATTGATTCTTATAAATCCGGAGGTACGATTATTTTAAGAGAAATATTAGTGAAATTTTATATGGTTTATTAACTATATAGGAAGAAAATAAAAATGTTATCTACATGTATTGTATTCCTTTTAAAGTAAAATTAAATATGTTTCAAAAGTTCAAAATGCAGAAAGTGAAATGGTGAGTTTTGTTGAATTTTTCAAATGCAACCCAATACATGCTTTCAATACTACATGCTAACATATAAGATATGCAATGTCAGCAATAAAGTACATTTAAATCTTCCTTCTGACTTTTTCTTTCTAACTGAAATATAAGATAATCAATGAAGAAGTTTATTATTTTGCATTTATTCTTATTTGAAAGACGTATTGTCTTCATCTTCAATTTCTGCACAGCATGAGAAGATTTAAATCGGAAATATGGGACCTTTTTTTAATATAGGAAAAAGTAAAAAGGGCCAACAGAACCATTTCATCTTTAAAAATGCATATAAAATATTTTGATTAAAGATTTACATGTACGAGGAGATCAATATTTACCTCCTTAAAGCCCATAATTTCCCAATATGTTCATGCATGAATGACTTCATGAGTTGTATAACATCAATATCAAATCCTTGCTTCGATTTATTTAACCATTTTTTAGAAATCTAGAAAAAGGTTTCATCAACTCTAGATCTCTTATTTGAGAGACGAGATATTATTTTTATTTATATGACGCGTGACGTCTTAAAATTCCTAGCATCTTTTTTTCTCAACAATTTTTGACAAATGATTCATACCTGCAAGATAAAATAATTAATAAATATAGGTATAGCTCATAGGATATCATTTTCTTATCCACAGTTTTAAGATCCCATATATTTTTACTTTGGGGATGTCCGCGTAGCGCTCTAGCAAGAAAGCATATTATAATGACTTTGCTGTCAGACAATTTACTGTGTGTCCTTGAACTGTAGACGCAGATGTTTTTGTGGGCATAAAGTTTGGTTAATTTGCTTTTATATTAATATTATGGGGCTTCATTTCCCCAATAAAACCAAGCTTATATCATGAGGGCTTCCAGATAAATTTGTTAGGTATTTTATTTTGTTGTTGAATGTTATCAACGATTTAAGGAAATTTAATTCCCAGAATTTATCACAACACAGTACAAATGTATGAATAAAACTGATAGTTCCACCTGGAGTGTATCCAATCATCAAATTTAGAGTATTTTTATTCCTATAATTTCAGAATGAAATATTTCAAAATTAATTAATGTAACAGTAATATTTGAAACAGTACTTTCACAAACTTGGAACGACGTACATATGTAATTCAATTTCTATTTTGCTTCTCTCAATTTCATTAATATTTAATACAATTCATTTTTAAGAGTGTTAGTTTTATTTAAGGTGTCGATGCATAATTAGCCAACAAATCTTCTTAACATAGAGTCCATTCAAAGAAAATTTTGAGTATTCCATAGATCAAAGTAAAGGAAGAAGCTTCAACAAGCGATGTTTTAAAAAAAAATTTTCTCCAAATTGGAAGATATACCCTGATCAGCATGACATATACGTCTGTGCTCAAAGTATAATTTTTAGGAATAAGAAATTAAAACATTTGAAATTTTGAAAGAAAAATTGATAAAGAGACCCATGCAAATATTTCTTTTTATAATCTGCGTTAGGTCACCATAAAAAAAAATAAGAAAAAAACTTTTTTAACAACATTTTCGATGGGCGATAACTTTCATCATTTTCCTTTAATCTCATCTTGGTCTTGTAGGTTTTATATTCAAGATTTTTAGGTAAACTAAATATACACAGACACAGTAATTTTGATGATTTTTTTAACATTTAAGTGGTAGGTGTATTAATTTAATGTGTACTTTATAGCGTCATCTAGAAGAAATTGCTATGCATGACTGACCTTAATTTCAACCAAACGTGCCACAAAACAGCCTTTGCCGTGACAGGGATTCAATTTTGCTCAAACGAACAGCCATACCTTTTCCGGGGGGGGGGGGGGGGGTTGTAATCAAGATTTGGTCAAAAGTTGGTGACACCCTTTCTAAGGCTTCTTTTCACGAACCACCAGGAAAAAAACTTTTGGAACTTACATAAAAGCTTCTTTACATAGAGTAGATGCAAATTTCTTCAAATAATGGCCCCAACAGTAAGGTGGGGTCTCAAAGGGGATCAATATTTTACATCGGAATATTTAAAAAAAAATACAAAAGGAAGAGCGGACAAAGACAAGTCATATTAATATGAAAAAAACCCTTAGATAGAGCAGATTTAAATCAGGATCGCTTGTGTACTCTAACAAAAAATACTAGTTTACTTAAGTTAACTATAGTTTACTTAAGTTGACTTTAATATACTATAGTATCAAAGTTTTTTTTTTTTATTTTAGTAAAGTTTCATAGTAAATCAAAGTATCAACGTTTTCACTATAGTTACATTGTAACTATAGTAAACTAGAGTTAACTGTAGTAAATTTTTGTTAGGGGTCGGGCGGAGCCTCAATAAGGGAATAAAGCTTACCTGAGTATATATAGAAGAAATCTTGAAAAAAAAAACAAGAATAACAAGGCCATGATAAGTCGAATTAATATGTAAACATTCTTAGCTGTTGAAGATTCAAGGTTGTTCTATGATATATAGTTAAAAATCAACACTACTTAGCAAGCTTTCACTAATGTGCCAAGTTTTCTGGTCCGGTAGTACTTGAGGGAAAGATTTTTAAATATTTGCATTATTTATTTCAATGTAAAAAATTCTTTACCATTTTGTCGCCTCATCATGCCTCAGGGGTTCATGATTTGAAAAATGTAGGGACTGTATTATGTATAGAATCTTTCGCTAATGTTAATTTTTTCTAGTCTAGTGATTATATTTTTGAAGATTTTTCATATATATATTTCAAAGGAAAACTTTGATCCCTTAATATTGTTCATTCCTACCCTAAGGGTCCATGAATCGAATAATTTAGAATTTTATTTCTGGAAGTTTCTTCTGGTCCATTTATAATATTTATATCTACTCGTAATGTGTGAAATGAAATGTGGGGACAATAAATATATATATTGGATACCTTTAACCATATATATACTTTCACACATAGAAAAACCTCTGCTGTTTTTTGGAAGGATTTAAGACGTCGAAAATGACTTATTCATTAACTTGACTCTGCACGTCATAGTGATGACTGCAAATGAACTTCAATATATTTCAATATTTTACCATTCAATTTTTAATTAACAGAATGAACCTTAAATCTCACCATAAGCAGAACTACATGTAGCACATAAGAGAAACTGCACGATTCTGAGGTTCATCATGTTTAATCTGAAAAAAAAAACAACAAAAATCTGAAATATAAAATACAAATAATTTATTGTAGATGTACGAAACGCTTAAGATAGTAAGTTATTTTCACGAAAAGTCAATTCAACATTTTATTATTCAGTTTTTTCTGCCAGCAGACATTAATTCGCCAGGAAAAAATAAAGCCTAGGATATAATTTCTTTCCCCAATTCTTTCCCGAGCTATTTTCTTTTTGGCTCTATAGGTCTTTCATAAACAATAATCTTGAGGATAAGTATTGCTATAGTAGCTGTGAATCTTCTGATTTTATATCTTATGAAACAGATCTAGTTTAAAAACAAATGGACATTATTTTGCTGATAAGTGACCTCTGACAACGATGCCCTCTGCTGACTGCAAGGGGATATGAATTTACCCTACCTTAATAATGCTGAGGACGCGGTGTATGAAGTACTATTTGATCCTCTTGTCGCATACTTCCTACACAGGTGGTATATAACAAAGGTACAATTAAATTCAGACCAGATCCATTATATCAAAGTTCGTTTAAGAAGTTAATGTGCTATTGTTTCAAAAATTCACGAGGGCATGAGCTACGGCGCACCATCGCTTAGCGCTTCATGATATATATGCGTAAAGCGTTGTAGTAAACATACCTCAAGAAAATTAAATTCAAATCTTATATTAAATAATTTATCTGATGACTGACCTTAAATTATGTCATGCAACTACCATTTTTGAAACAAAACAGTTCCTGGGAAAATGAACCGTTTGAATTGAGTTTTTGAAGAATCTTAGGTAAATTTATTTGTTAATATAAAATATTGCAATAATTGTTGGATTTCTCTATATGAAATATATTTGACCAAGAGAACACACCCTTTCATTTTAAGGTCTAACAACAGGAGTCCTCAACAGAGTTGTGAA